GCGAGACGAAAAAAACTCGTGTGTCATCCTAACGCGGAAGCCGTGTTGATCGTGCCATGAGACAGCATCCGGGTCGCCATGTTGTCCTGCCTCGTCGTTTCGCTTGTTGAGATACGATTCAGGCGCAACGTACTTATATATGCCATGGCACGCCAACCCCAGCAATAATGACCGAACCGCTGGGGCGACCTGGAAGGCAGGCTGCAAGCCGAATGCCATGTGCCCCTCAAACCCTGGTCCCCAAGCCCACAAAAGCCAATAACGATTTTGGCAAAGTCGCGTGCCGCCTCTGTGGTCTGTGGCCCCAGGCCCCAGGGCCCCGACTCCTGACTACCCTGGGCCCTAGGCCGCACTGGGCCCCTGAAAACAGCCCCTAACCCTAGCTCGATGCTTAGAAATACACAGGGACCTTCCACCATCTGGAACTAACAGGTACCACGATCTTCCTAGTAAACAGCAGCTTGACCAGCGTGGAATGCACCCTGCGATACGCGCGGCGGCGGCAGATGTCATGGTTGCCTCTGCACTTGCCGTCGCAATAGAACTTGATGGTAATCTCCCTCCAGTCGCCGCCGATGTCGTCGAGCACCTCCCCCCGCCGCGGGCCCTGTGACTCCCATCCCTCCACCCCTCATATAAATATATCCCTCGCCCCTGCACTGGGGGCCCGGGGGCTCTGGGCTCCAGGAGGGCGCAGGGGAAAAAACAATCCGAGTCCGCCAGGCGCCTGGGCCCCAGCTGGAGGGGCGAAGAGGAAATCACCGCGAGCGAAGCACTGAGACAACTGAGCACCGCGGCCCTGCCAGCGTCTAGCCGCAGCCTGCCGCATGCCGCATGCCCGCCCCTCCCCCCGCCCCACCTGATCCCGGAACTCCCGCAGTTGCGTCGGCAGGCGGTCGTCCGAGATGCCCTGGCACAACCTCCCCAAATATGCGGCGAGAGAGACAGAGAGAGAGAGAGAGCGAATGGACGAACGAATGACGAATGACAGATGAAAGAGCGGGAGAGGAAGGGGGAGGACGGGGACTAGAAAGAGAAGGAGGAAACAGAGAGGGAAGGCGAGAACAAGGGGAGAAGAGGGAGGAAAGGCATCGGGATCGGGGTGGAGGAGGATAGGCAGAAGGGCAAAGGAGGAAGGGCAGGGGACCTTACCCCTCTCTCCCTCCCTATCTATTTATATGAGTATGCCATCATATTCCTTTATTCCTCCCCCGACTCCTCCTTACCCCTCTCCCTCTCTCTCTGCCTCTGTCTCTCTCTCACTCTCTCTCTCCTTCCCCCCGTGCCCCGCGTGAGCTGGAGTATCCTGCGCGCTGATGCCAAGTACTGAGGGTCCCGGACTTCGTGGTGCACGATCCTCAGGTGCTCGCGCAGGTGACCCTCCAGCCCGCGGCACATCCCCAGCCAATAAGATCCAAGGCCCATGACGTTGGCCGCACGGTACAAGGGGCCAGCCATCTTGAAGTAGTCCAGACAGGGAATACTGCACCTCCCGCACACCGCAGCATTGCAGTTTATCGACTAATCGCAAGTGCCGCACTCCCCCTCCCCCATTCCCCCATGCCCCGCCTGTGCAGCGCGTGCGCGAAGCAGCGGACTGGCAGTGCCACCACGCGAGAGTGCCCAGCTCGTAGTAATGCACCTCCCAGGTGGTGGCAGCGAGCTCGCGCAGGAGGGGCGCAGAAAAGCGGCAGCGAGAAAAGACAAAGACGAGGGGCGCGGGGCGCGGGGGCCCAGGCAGAGGGGGTGGATGAGGCAGGAGCGGCAGGAGGCAGACATCAGATCATCTGCGATGGAGGAGGGGGCGGGAGAATTTTCGAGAAGAGTCGGAGGGCAATCAGGAAGCAGGAGGGGGTGCGTAGTGGAGTGGAAGACAGACAGCCTGACAGAAGGGCCAGAGCGAGGGTGAGGGCAGCCGCCTCTCCCCTCTTCCTTATTTTCCTCCTGGTCGGCCATACATCCTCCCCATCCTCTTCCTTAGTTATCCTTCTTCTTCCCCCTCCTCTTCTCATGTTACTGTTATCTCTCCGTGCCCCCTGCCCTCGCTCTCCTCTGTCAGTCCTCCCTCTCCTCTCCTCCCTCTTGCCCTCCCCGCGCACTCTGTCACTTGCGCCCCCAGTCCCCGGGCGGCCTAGGTAGGCTATCACCCGACGGTTGCTGGAGGCGTCGTCTGCCACCAAGACCAGCACAGACCAGCGCGCGCCAGTTTCGCGCCCGAAGTCGAGCAGAGAGATGTGTTGAGGAAGTGCAACAGTGAGGCCCTCAAGCAAACAATCCGATGTCAAGTCCACGAGCTGAAGAGGGGGGCACACAACTGGACAAGCGGGCATCCCATTCACTTTCCACTGGCACTCAACCATCATGATCGACGACGTCACAGTCGTGGCCTGACCAGTCTTTACGTCCATCGATTCAATCCTCTGCTGCGTCTCGTCCCACTGCACGCGGAGAGAGCAACATAGCGCAGGCCGTTGTAGCTGATCAGCCCACACCTGCCCCCCATACCACTTTCCTCCACTCCTCCTCGTGCTGACCCTCCTCCTCCCTTCCCCCGCCCCCCCCCTGTCCGCCCAGGCCCTTGCCCTCCCCCCATCGCCCCCCTACGTCGACAGCCACGGGCGATATGTATGAGGAATGACGAGGTGAGTGATGGCAGGAGGCAGGGCCAGGCTGAAGGCAGGAGCAAACGGGCGAGAAGAGAATGGAAAAGGCAGAGATGAGGGGAGATTAGCTCATGATCATCCCCTATCGTCCGCCCCGCCCCTCCTGCAGGCAGGCGCCTAGCCCACGAGGCATCAAGGACCATGAATACCCAATATCTGCAGCCCAGTCGGTACAGCATTTTCTCTCTGAGGATGCTCATTCTGAATCTGAGGTCTGAGGGCCTGGCAGCGACCTGGAGAGGCTTACAAGGAACGGAGTGTGGGTGCAGGCCGCGGCTGAAGAAGCCAGCCGAAGCTTGAAAGGTCTACCGGAGCCCTCAGAATGCCACAGGCCGCGTGGCCCGCGTCGACGATCATCGACGATCATGCAGAGGTAGCTGTTCTGTACAGTCTGTAGCGCCTCCAACCGTCGTAGGTCAATGACTAAACAATCACCGACCGCCGACCTTCTCGAAACCCATGTCGTCGCCGTTCTCTGAGTGCCTGGACAGCTCCACGTCCGGGTCCAGGATTGCCCTCAGCCAGCGGCCCTTGATGTGAACGTGGTCCTGGAGCTGCGCGCTCGTTGCACGCCCGAGGTGGTTCGCGTGGAAGAGGCGCATGTCGATCACAGACTGCTTCTTCTTCTGGATGCACAGCGTCGTGCAGATGAAGTTCTTCACCATGCCAGCGTCCAATGGCGCCGCCGTCTGACCATCAAGGTTCAAGAATTTAGGTAGCTTGAGGGGCAGAAACTTTTTGAAATCCTGGATCCACACCGCGATCATCACATTAGGGTCGTCCTCCTCGCCAGGCACCCAGACGATGTCACTGCCGCAGCCCGCCGCCTCTTCTGGCTGACCAACCTGCGGGCCCTCCTCTGGGCCCTCTGTCGACAAGAACACGTACTGGTTGAAAACGACGGACTCCGACCACATGAAGGCGCCCTTCTGAGGCGGTGCGTCACGCTGTCCGTTCGCTTTGAAAACGAAAATCTGTTGGTCTGGATAGGCGTCGGTGTCCTTCAGGGCGGCGTCTACGATCTCCGAGATCTCGAACCCCTCCGGATGCGCTTCGTTCGTGCCTTTAGGCACAGTCATGTTCACCCATAAGCTCTTCGGCTCCAAGTAGCACCACACCTTGCCGTGCATCTTGAGCGGCTTATTTGCCTCCACGAGCAGAGTCTGAGCCATGCTGAGGGGCCTCGGGCGGGGCTGGCGGCTGGCAGAGTGAGGGGCCGAGGGCCGACGATGGCTGGTGGGCGCGTCCGCGTGGCGCACGAGTAACCTGAAAGGTCTAAGGTCTCTGAGCATAAACGGCAATGGAGCGAACGAGAGGCACCCGAGAGGCAACGACCACTCGAGGTAACCAAAAGGTCTCAGGGGGTCCAGGTGGCTCCATTCAGGGAAAACCCACAGACCCCTGCACGCATCCACCACAGCATTCATTCTGACTTCTGACACTCAACCCAGTCTGGCTACGCAACGCAATGCAACGCAACTGCACGTGCTACGCCGTGATATCTGCTATATGCCCCGCACCCCCTCCTCATTCTCCCGATCCTACTCCTATTGCTCCTCCTCTTGTTCCTCTTCCTCCTCGCCCCTCCTCCTCTTGATCCTCTTTTTCTCCCTATGATCCTCCTCTTGCTCCTCTGGCCGCTCGCCCCCATCGCTGCTCCTCAACTCCGCCGGAGCAGGAGAAGGAGAATGGGGGAGGAAGAGGAGGAAGATGTGAAGGTGTCCTGGGAGGGGAGGATGACAAGGAGGAAAGGGAGGTGTAGAAAGAGGGAAGGCGGGAGAACGAGGAGGATATGGGCGCCACGCGAGGCGAGGGCGTGCAGCGCGAGGCGGGCGGCGGGCCCGTGCCCCGCCTTGTCCCGGCGCTTGACGTAGCGCCACAGCGTCCAGGCGACCAAGCTGTCCACTTGGTCGTTCGAGAGCCTGCCCTGCGCCCTACCCCCCTACCAAGAAGGTTGTCATTTCCCACTCCCCTCTCCTTATCCTCCTCCTCCTCCTCCTCCTCCTCCTCCTCCTTCTCCCCCTGGACTCCTCTCCCCTCCTTCTCCTTTCTCCTCCCTATCCTCCTGCTCCTTTTCCTCCTCCTCCTCCTCCTCCTCCTCCTCTCCTCCTCCCTCTCCTCCTCAGTATCCTAGTCTCCTCCCCCCCCCTCACCCTTCTCACTCCACCGCCCCTGGGCCCCTCTCCATCTCCCAAGTCCTCCTCTCCTCCCTTTCTCCCCCTCCCCTTCCCTCATCCTCATCCTTGTCCCCACTTCCGCCATTTCTCCCCTCTCTCCGTCTGTCTGTCCACGGTCCAGACGTGACAATGCATACAGCATGCCCCCTGCCCTGCCCACCGGTACTTACGCAGCTGCGCCCTCTTGCTCTCGCCAGCGGGTCGATACCATACCAGCTGTTCGACCTCCGCAGGGCCGATGTTTGCCCGCAGCGCCGTCTCCTCCAGCATGGGGAAGGACCGCCCCACGACGGCGGCAGCGGCCTGGGCGGAGGCTTCCCCCCTGGTGGCCGCGGCGGCCTTGGCGGCCTCGCGGCGGGCGAACGCCGCCCGAACCGCCCGGGCTGTGGATGCCCGATCCTGGCGGCCGCTATGGCGGGCCTGGCCACGGCCACGGCCACGGCCCGCATGGCCGCGGCCATGGCGGCCAGGGCCAGCGGCCCCCCTGAGGTCTCCCAGGTCGTCCACGTCGGACGACATTTTTTGAGGCTGCGGCGCGGCATCGCGCGCCGCAGGCATCGTCGTCATCATCTTCGTCATCATCATCGCCAGCATCATGAGTTTTCAACATCATCGTTCATCGTCATCGTTATCATCGTCATCATCGTCATCATCGTCATCATCGTCGTCGTTCCTCCGCCTTCCCATTGCCACTGATCCCCATCCTCCTTCCCTCTCTCCTATCCTCGTTCCTCCTCCTCTGCTCTCCTCTCCTCCTCCCGCTCATTATCCTTCTCGATCCTCCCTCAGAGCCTCAGTCATCCTTCTCCTCCTCCTCCTCCTTCTCCTCCTCTTCCTCCTCCTCCTCCTGCCCTCCTCCTGCCCAACTTCTGCCAGGCCTGGCCCTGCAGTCTGCGCCGCTCAGCTGCTCTGCTGCCGCGCCGCCCACGCCGGAGGGAGCGCGCAACGCGCGCGCGCGCGCGCACCACGCCACGCACCACTCACACACCAAGGAAATACACTATAAAACCACTCCTAAAACACAACAAAAACAACAAGTTAACACGCCATAAACGCAACAGAAACACAATGCAGATAAGCCATGGCAGTGCAGTTGCATGCACGTGCGTGTTGTTTGACAAACAAACCTGAATGTAATTATTCACAGAGGATTCGCATGAGAATTCGACATTGTGCCAACGATTCTTCCCATACTTGCTTGAATGTGTTGTGCGTCGAGCCGTTATTTTATATGTTGTTTATTCTAATGGAGTTTCAAACCTTTTTGGCTACTTCATAAGAGCTAAATCGTCCCAAAACAGAGAGGGGGCCTAAGAACGGAGAGTGTTACACCTAAGTGCAGAGCTCTTCCAACTGACAGCGCTGCTAGAATCAATGCTCGCAGTTTTCCGCCTCTGGGGTCGATTTCGGGCCTCGGAGCTAACACGTGATCACAGCCACGATCCGGAACGGGGCACCAGTCCCCAAGGAAAGGGGTCGGGAGGTCTGAGGTCCACGTGCGTGTTGAACAGGTCACGGCATCGGGGGGGGGTCCTCATCTGCCTCCCACAGTCGGACCGAGGTGGAAGGTCGAGGTCAGTTCCGGGAGGGTACCCTACTGTTCTTCGTGCTTGCGGGAGGTTCTTGTGCATCCTGGGGTCGGGGCGCTCTCGAATGCTCTTCATGTGGATCGTGCCCGATGGGTGTTCTTGAGTGATGTTCTTCTGCCCCAGGTCCGACTGTACCTCGTATGTCAGGAGGAGAAGAACCACACAGACACAACGAATCGTCGATTTCCCAGAAAATATGGGAACCTATGGGAAATGGGGGGGAAGACAAAAACCCAGAAAACATATAAACATATGGGGCATCTTTTGATTTGTGTGTGTATTCATTTGTGTGTCCCAGGGCCCCTTCAGTACTCTGGAGGGGGCCAAGGCGAGACAGCGACGGCTCGCCCGACCAGCCCAAAGGGCGCTCAGAATCAGCCCCAGGACCTCTCGATGGGGTTCACCCTGGCCCCTATTTTCCGGGCGGATCCAGCATGAAGTCGGGCCTGTCCCCCTACAGGGGGGAAATTCAAAAATAGCCCAAAAAACAAATTAAGCATTAAACAACAAACATAAACATTTTTTTACTTTTTTGGTCTGGGGACTACTTTTGAGCATTTTTTCACCATTTTGGATTATGTTTGGAGTATGTTTTATTGTTTTCGCTGAAGACCCCCCTGTAGGGGGACACGCCCGACTTACATCCAGCAGCAGCGACGGGAAGCTTCCGGGAGGCCTACATGGGTGAAACGCGCAGGAGACGGCCTCCTCTGCCTCGACTGTGCGGTCCTCGAGGGAAGGGACGGGATGGGAGGAGAGGGCGGTGGAGGGTGAGGAGGAACACGAAGTCTTGAGAATAGTACGTTCCAAGGTCTCCAAGATCTCCAACGTTTCCTAGATCACTCCGGGCGGGCTCCAGATTCGAGGGCCGCCAGAATCCAGAGTCCCGTGGAACTGCTCTGTGCCAATCGCATCATGACGTCGTGTTCGTCCCAGTTCGGTTGGAGATAGGCCAATTGCAGCCAGAGCGCTCCATCAGCTGGAACTCCAACTGGACTTTGCCTCTCCCGGCACACACAACTTCGGATGCAGCTCCTGGGAGGTTGAATTCCGCATTGGCACTGGTATATCCGTGGTCGAAGACAGGCCCAATCCAGCATAATACCGGTGAATTCTTTCAACATCGCTTGATCTGGCTTAATCCCGCTTGATCATGGGCTTAGCTTAACCTGGCTTGAGCTTGCTTAGTGCTTGGTGGCCCCCTAATCAGATCTAATATCCCTCTTTTGTTCTGGGACTCCAACTCCAGGGGCGACGTTGTGGGGGGGATCGGCTCTGGCGACACGATTCGAATCCCCAATTGCCCATCGTTTGCCGATCAGGGCTCGATGGCCCACCCCGGCCAGGAGCGCGAGGATTTGCTTTCGGAGGCTCATCGCCCATCTCTCGGCGACGTGTCTGTCCCCCCTTTGAGCCAGTCCCCCACCACTGGGGCTCGAGCTAGGTAAGTCTCGGGGATCTTCTGACCCGGGTCGACCCAGACCCGGGTCAGTCAGGCCTTGCAGCATGCTGCAAATCCTGCAACATCCTGCACCTAAACCCGGGTCGACTCGAAGGCTCCTGCGAGGCCATGCGGGATCTTGCACCCAAGCCCGGGCCACTGCGTAAACGGGGCTCTTGCAGCAAGGGGAGACAGCTGAGAGAACGAAGGGAAACAAAAACGAAACGAAAACGACACACACTGTTTAGCGCGAGCCCCGCACCCCCCCTCCCCACGCCCCCCGCCTCCCTCCCCACGCCCTCGAAGCACCTCTTCCCCTTCCTCCTCCTCCTCCTCCTCCTCCTCCTCCTCCTCCTCCTCCTCCTCCTCCTCCTCCCTCTCCTCCTCCTCCTCCTCCTCCCCCCTGTTTAGCTTTTTAGCACTACCGTTCTCCTCAGCCTCTCGACGCGCACCGGCCCGTCGCCTCGCCGCCGCCCATGGAAGAAGCGACCCCGGACGGGGCGCTTCCTGCGGCCCGCGCGGGCCGCGGATGCCGCTCTGCCCCGGGAGGTCTCAGTCAGCATCGGCGCTGGCACAATCGTGTACGAAGACAGCTCCCCCCCAAGATCCTGGCGTCTCAATGCATCCGAGCCTTCTGATACTCCGACCAAACTTGAGCCTCAATCACCAGGAAGAATTTCGAGCGCTCCCCGAAAAATGCCGAAACTCGAAGGGTTTCACTTGTCGGGCCCTGGGAGACACTCGCCCGACACTGTTTCGACACTCTTTCGGCACTTTTCCGGGAGCTCGAAATTATTTCTGGGATGTAGTCCTTAAGTAGGATGGGAACACCATAAACCGAGATCCTGGCGTCTCGATTCTTCCGAGCCGGGTGCTCTCGCTCCTTGTCGGGCCCCAGGACCCTCACAGATGGACCCGGCTGGCAAATTGACGCCGAACTCGTGGGGTCAGGGCTCCAGGCGTGCTTTTGCACGATGCTGCCTGTCTTTCGCTACGTCGGATCTCAGGGCCAGTCTGGCATCCCGCTACGTCGGATCTCACGCTTCGCTCGTCTACGTCCACTCGATCCCGCCCAGCCCGGCCCGGGCCGGCCTGGTCTGGCTCGGTGGCCCCGATCACGGGCTTCATCGCCCCGTTCAGGGGGCTGGCTGTCCCCCCCCCAGCTGCTGGTGGCACCCCTTTCGGGGCGCGCCCCCAGAGGGTGCCCAGAACTTCGTGCCGCCCGCTCGGGGTGGGGGCCTCTGGGAACGGAGTCATGTTGAGTTCTGGTGGCTCGTTGTGGTCTCATGAGTCTAGGAGCTGGTTTCGGACGGGGGTCGAGGAGAAATCCGTCCAAGAGCGTTCCGGAACGCTATCAGAGCTTTCTGGAACTCTCTGAGAAGGCCGCGGCGCCCGAGACATCCTCCAGAGCCGCCAGATCTCAGTCATTCTCGACTTATCCTCTATTCTCGTCCTGGCTTCGTCTTGTGCTCCCGAACACCCGGCATCGCGCGGACGTGTGTATATATAACACATAGTAAAATGTAATGCAGTCTATTTCAATGTAGTAAAATATATTTTACAAAAAAAACTGTAATAACATATCATATCATGTAGTATTTCAAAACATCATATAGCATAATTATTTATAGAATAATATGTTAGTTTGTCATAGAATTCAATATCGCAACACATAATTTACTACAATATAATGAAGTATACTCTAATATGAAATGATCTAACATATCCCAGTATGATATTACATCCTCGTATACCACAATGCACTAGGATGTACTATGATGCACTCAAACACAATCTGTCACCATAGAATGTATGATGATGTGATGTTCTCGGCGAGGACCATCGATGAGCACCCTGGATCTTTCGGGTCGGGCGAAAGGGGGGGATTGGGAAAGGGGTTACGAAATTTGCGGCATGCAGCTGGTTTCGGCCTCACCGAGGGGCCCATTCCTCGATACATAGCCGCCTCCGGCGCCGGGAGGCGCCGGGAAAATCAGCTATGCGTGAGCTGATTCTCACACCCCCCCTTTGCTATTCCCCCCTTTCGCCCGACCCGAATCTTGGAGCAGCGACACAGCACGCATGACATCGGCACCTGCACGGGGAGCGGGACGCCCGCCGCGCCGGCGCGAGCACGCCGCCGCTTGCCGCGCCCGCCGCCGCGCCCGCCCAGGACGCGGCGCCGCCGGCGGCCCGCCCGGGCCGCCGAGGCCGCGCCGCCCGCGGGGGCCTCGCCGCCGGGCGCGCCGCGGCGGGCCGCGTCGCGTGGCTGGGCTGCGGCTCGGGCGCGGCCGGGGCGGGGGGGGGAAGAGGCTGGT